TCAGCCTCCTGCCAGCTCCTCACAGCTCCTCCTCGGTCCCTTCCTGCCACACGTCCCTCAGGCACCGCAGGGCAGGTAGAGGCCTGTGGCAGACAGTCGCCCACCTTGGCATGCAGGAAGGACTCCCCGACACAGTCCACAGAAGGTGAGGAATCTGGCTGGTCACCATTGTGCCACCAGGTCTCTGTGAGCAGGTCAGGGACACAGTGCCATGGCCCAACAGATCCCCGGGACACAGCACTCGGCCCTTTTCTCACCAGAACCCACAATGGTCTTAGTCTAAATTTTGGACTTCTCAGCCTCCAGACTGAGACAATGAACTTCTGTTGCTTAAGCCACCGAGTCAGCGGAATCTGTTCGTGGCCCCAGGAATTCCCGGTGAGTTGGATTTTAATACTTGCACAGCCTGGAGCAAGAGGCACCCCCCCGACCCACCAGACACACTTTCCTGTCCCTGCAAACCAGCAGCTGTCAGAGAGCGAGTGTCTAGTGACTCTCAGACAACCCCTCGAGGTCCTTCCCTTTCCCACTGGCAGGCACGATTCCTGTGTGTCCACCGGAGGTGAGACACGCTTCTACAAGTGCACACGTGTACCTGCACACACGGGGACACACACACCACGTGCCCTCTGCCCCTGACTTCCCTCGTTGTGACACCTGCGCGAGTCCACTCTGCGTCTGGACATATGGAAGTGACTTGTTTAGTGGCCGCACACTGTTCCAGGTGCCCCACTCGCATCCACTTCTGAGAGACACTTGGCTTGTTTTCTGCCACCACTAACAATGATGCACTGAGCAGCCTGGAACCTGAGTCTCTGCACACGAGCGTGTGTGTGTGTGTGTGTGTGTGTGTGTGTGTGTGTGGCTAGGTGATGGGCGGGTCCAATGGCTGGAAGGCGTGAACATCTGAACTTGTCACAGATTTTGCTAAGCTGCCCTCCAGAGGTTGTTCTTACCCACACTTTACCGACAATGTTGAGATTTCCCACCAACACACGACAATCAAGCTTTTTTTCCTTTTCCAAATTAATAAGGGGAAATTCTATGTCACTGTGATTTGAACGCGAATTTCTCATATAAGTGAAGTCAATCATTTGATGTTATTGCATTTTGTAAGCTCCTTTTCTGTCATCTGAAAGTCTGCGTATGTCCTCTGCCCCTGTTCCCTTTTCCTATTAGTTTATGGGAGTTACACATGTTTTAAGAAGACTGGCCCTGTTATGGTCAGTGATTGTGTTTCAGTGTTGGATCCACTGGAAACTGACATGGGCGTGAGTCCAGGTGACCTAGTGTGACAGTCAGAAGCCTGGACTCCGTGTCAGAGGCTAGAGTGAAGTCCAGGTCCTGTTTCCAGCTGTGTGGACTTGAGTAGTTACTAACCTCCCTGCCTTCAGCTTTCTCATCCGTGAAATGGAAATGGTCACAGTGCCCACCTGATAGAATTACTGATGGGATTTAAGGAGAGCTTTCAGCACCGTGTTCAATAATGGTTCCATAAATGTGAGCTGCTCTCATTATTGGGACGATTATTCTTGCCGAAGTGTCCCTGGGATCAGAACCAGACAGTCCCAGGTCCAGGGTGCAGCCCTTTCTCTCAGCCACTGGCCGTCTCAGGGGTCTCCTCCTGGGTACAGGGACGGGCTTCTCGGAGTCACACACCCGTGGGTGCCATCCCATACGGGCTCAAAGAAGCCATAATCCAGCCGGGCCTTCCTGCTTATCAAAGCCCTGAGATGAAAAGCAAATTCATCGCTCTGTCAACAGCAGCTGCTCCACAGCCACTGTCAGTCCCCATGTCACCAAGGAAGTACCTGGCACGTGTGTGCTGCCAGGGAGAATTGGAAAGATGGAGGGAAGGACAGGTGCAGGCACCAAGCTCGGGCTGNCTCACAGGGGAAGCGTCAGACAGATCCCAACCGAGGGGTGTTGTAAAAAACAACAGACCAGGGCTCCACAAAACTGTTGTGACCAAAAGGAAGGTCTGGGAAATGGTCACAAGCCAAGGGGACGTGACGACCAAATGTCAGGTGGCGTCCTGGGTGAGACTCTGGACCAGAAAGGCCGTGTGGTAAACGTGAAGCCATCTGAACACAGCGTGGACGTCCTGGCAACATAAGGATGTCAGCTCATTAACTGCAGTAAATGTTAAAGGTGTGAGATGCTGACAATGGCGGAAGCTGCATGTGGGCGATGGGCACTCTGTGCCTCCTTCCAGTTAGTTTTAAATCCAAATCTGTCAGAAAACACCAAGTTCATTTTTATAAAGTGCTGCCCCTCCCAGCTCTGTGCCTTCTGGGAGATGTGGAGGCGTGTCCACGAGGCCCAGCAAGACCTGCGTGTGCACCTGTCCCCGCGGGCACAGAACCACCTGGCTCCCGATGGACGTGGGTCCCACTGCCAGGCCTTGAAAGTGGACCTGCACTGTTGGGTCCTGCCCCAGGCCTGGTCCCAGGTGCTTACTCAACATTGTTCAGCCGATACTTTCTGAGACCACCTGGGTGCCAGGCATGAGCCAAAGGCTCATAACGCAGGGCGAAAAGCAGCGTCCCTGCTCCCTGCCCACGTGGAGTCCACAGATAGATGTTAAACAAGGACACATTCAACCGAAGGGACAGGGCAGGGTGCGGGCACAGGGGACATTTAAGAGGCAGGGATGGTCCTCTTCTCTGACAAAGGGTGTGGGGAAGAGTACTTGAGGAGCACCTACTGTGCGCTAAGAGCCTACTGTGCACTAAGAGCCGACTGAGAGGGGATGTGCAGCCTCCGGACAGCACCTTGGAGCCCGCAGACAGCAGAGAAAGACAGGCCTTTGCAACATGAGATCATGTGTGATGAGCACTGGGAAGAACATGGAGGCAAAGGGACAGCGAGTGACTAGTGATGGGTCAAGGGGGTGAGGGCCAGGGTGTGGGGGGCTGAGGAAGCAGCTGTTTTTGGTAGAGCAGTAAGCCAGTCTCTCAAAGGAAGTAGCTTCTGAGCAGAAACTTGAATGTAGTGGAGGGTGAGCCCTGCAAAGCTCTGGGGGAAGGGTCTGTGGGGGGAACAGCCTAGGGCAAAGGGGGTGCATCTGTGTGGAGGGAGCAGGGCTAAGGGGGAGAGTCTGTCGGGGGATCAGAGCAGGGCCAAGGCTCATAGGCCAGAGCAAACCTGACTGGAAGACAGCTCTCCCTCCAACTGAAAAGCTCTCAATCTCTTTAGTGTGTGCTCTGTGAGGTTTGGCAATCACACACATTCATGTCCCCACCCCACGTTCAGGATGAGACATCCCATTAACCCCAGGAGCTCTGCTGTGTCCCCCGTGGTGAATGCCACCCCCCCACCTAGTGATGTGCCTCATGGAACCTCATTAAAACGGACCTGTGCAGGCTGGACTGCTCCAGCCTCCTGGCACTTGGCACATGCCCTTGAGGGGCACCTGTGTTCCACGGATCAGGCCTTTGCTTGCTCTTTAAATCACTGAGTGGGGCTCCATTGTGTGGAACGCGTCCATTTGGTTCATCCATTTCCCATTAAAGTATATTTGGGTTGTTTCCAGTTTGTTGGTGACTGTAGACAAAGCTGCTGAATCCACCCATGTGCAGCTTTGGTGTGAGTGGAGCTTTCCGTGCAGCTGGGTCAGCGCCAGGGGTAGATTGCAGGGCCCTGTGCTTCACATTACGGGAGCCCGCCAGCGGAGGAATTTGCAATCCTAGACTTTACACAACTGCCTGGGGAGTCCTGTCACCCTGACAGGGCGGGTAGGCAGACAGAGCTGACCAGCAGAAGGAGGGAACTAGCCCCGGTCAGGACGCCCCCGGCTGCAGCTCCTACCTGGGTCAAGACCCCTTACAGCTGTCCTCACTGAGGGCTCCGATGCCTCACTGGCCCAGCAGGACTCCAGCTCACACCTGCCCTCAATCAGTGGGGTGTGTTGTAGAAGAGAGAGAGAGAGAGAGAGAGAGAGAGAGAGAGAGAGGAGAGAGAGGAGAGAGAGGAGAGAGAGAACATCCGCTTATCAGAATGCGCACCCTGCTTCTCAGGGCCATTGTAATGAGCTCAGACAGACAACCTTGGGAGAAAGAAGGGAGTATGCGGCTGCCAGCTGGGAGAATGAGGTGTACTGGAGAGGAAGAGGGGGGACAATTCTACCCAGAGAGAGAAAAACCCTCGCACAATGTAAGAGGGGCTGCTTCCCTCTCTGGGGTCCGCCTGCCCATGTCTCGGAGTGTACCCACTTTTACTAAAAACTTCTTGCTCTCCTGAGCTGCACAAACTGTCTGGGGGCTGAATTCTTTCCTTCAAGAAGACAAGACGAGGAACAACGTCATTCCTGGGACAATGCCACTTTCCAGGGGAGGGACTAAGCACACCTGGGTGAGGCAGCTGCCCGAGGTCCAGGGAGCTCCCAGCAGTTGGGGCTCATGCTCTGCAGGTGCCTTGGCTTCTCCGCCCACTGGCTGGTCCGCCCCGCCCGCCGGCCGCCCCTGCCTTGCCCGCCCTCCAAGCGCCGCTGCAGACCCCGCCCTGCGGACACAGCTCCTGCATCAGGACGCTTTCCCGATGCCCCGCCCCTGCCTTCCCCGCCCNGTTATCCTGGGGCCCACGTGCCACCTCCATGTGCTGTAAATGTCAATAATTAACTACCCTGCACCCACAATGTGAAAGAACCATGTGTCCCTCCCTTTCACTTTTGATCCAATCTCGGAGACCCCCCTTTGCTTCTGCCACCCCCCTAACCTGACGCCCATGGATTCCATGTCACCCCGTTAGGCTCCTCCTTTGAGTCTAATGTATGAAATAAGCCGCGAAACTGCCATTCCCAGGACCGTTTTCTTAACCCGTTGAGATTTGCTTCTTGGCAACTGTAGTCAGTGTGGCTCAAATGACTCATTCTCATAAGACGCTTCCTTAGGCCGGGTGTTCCTCTGTCCACACACAGGCTGTCACTCAGGGTGCTGGGGGCGGGCTCAATGTCCCCGTCCCCACGTCCCCAAGCCTCTCTTGGAAGCACTGTGTGAGAACGGTTTGGTTCAGAAAACATTTGTTTTGGGGTTTGGGGAGGAGGAGCTTAGAGAGAGCCCCTAAGGGGAGGAGCGCCCCACAAATTCCTTGCTGGCTGAAAACCAGGGACTTTGGAACTCCCAGACAGCTGGTCTCCATTTCCACATTCCTCTGTCCTGTGAGGCTGCAGAGCTAACTCTTCCCCAACGGCCCCCACCCTGAGCTTCCCAGTTTAAGAGCTCTTAACCTGTGACAGGCGGCCGCCATCATTATGGTCACCTTCCCTTTTTACAGAGGGGGCACTGGGGCTCCAGACGGGTCACCAGGTAAACCCCAAGGCCTGGGAGCCAGGATGTGGCAGGGCCTAGACTTGAACCGGGGGTCCCGCCTCCCAGATTTGAGCCGCTGTCAGCTCAGCAGTGTCCCCACATGGGGTCTGAGCCTTTAGAAGCCACACTGAGGGGCGGGGCAGGCTTGTCCCAGAGCAGCCTCTTGCCTCCCTCTCACGGCCCAGGGCGAGCAAGCAAGTCCTGTCTGCATCTGTGGCTGCAGCTCAGACCCGCTGAGTCCCCAAGGTGACACTTGTCCAACCACAGCCACCTCCTCCAGTGCTCAGTGCGTCACAAATGGCCAGACCTGCAGAGACTGGTGGCCTGACAAGCCTCAGCTGGCCTCCCAGCTGCACCGGGACCCTCCCAGTCCGAGCTGCAGGCTGGTGCCCCTGCCCTGACCCTGGGGCAGTGCACATGCTCCTGGGGGCACAGTCTGGCTTCCACCACCGTCCAGTCAGTCACGCCAACCACAGGCCCCTTGAAACCTGGAGAAGCCCCACTGGGGGGGCCTGCTCCCACCCCCGGCCTGTGCCCAGCTCCGGGCAGGGTCCTTTTGCTGGTGTCATTTGCTGGTGATATCAGCCTTTGTGTGGGACTTCCTCATCACAAGGCCCCCTCTCAGCTGCTGGCTGCTGGCCAGGTTCTCAGCATTCTCACCAGCACAACCTCTACTCACCCCAACTCAGGCCTCACCCCCACCTCCCCCACAGCAGGGAAGAGGGCGGGCTCTGCAGGTCCCTGTGAGAAGCCTGAAGGGGGCAGACAGGGGAGGGACAGCCCACCCTCAGGCTGCTGCAACTATAGGGTTGTCACCTGGCAGTGGGCGTCCTGTGGTCTCACCCTAGTCCCGGCGCTGCCTGTGAGGACGCTGGAGTCTCACACATGCTCTCCCACAAGACAAACAACGTTCAGCTCAACTACGCATGGCAGCTGGTACTGATTTCTACTCAGCAAATACTTACTGCACACACCTGAGCCTGGACACCCGCAGGGACTTTCCCTCCCAGCCAGTCACCACCGCTGCCGTTGAGCCCCAAGGCGACTGCACCGGCAGCATGTCACCAGCACCCCACGTTGTGACACTTGCCCCCGTTAGGAGCATTTCCCAGCACTTTCCAGGAAGCTAAATAGCCCTAGACCACCCAGTCCTCAGAGTGAGAGTCTCACCCTCCGTGATTCCAAGCTGAAAACTAAATGCAGAGCAGGTGTCTCGTGGTGACACTCCCACGCTGACAAGGAGGCTCTATTTAGTAGAATGCCAATGTCTCGTGTGTCACAAAAGTCTGAGGACCGGTGTCAGCCAGGGACCCAAGTCACCCCCTTCCTGTTAACAAGGTCCCTCCCTAACAATAAGGGGGCTTGCTGGGCACAGACCCCCAATGGCCAGAGAGAGGTGCTGTTTCTCCCACACTTGGGGACTTCCTGGCCCAACTGGAAGCGCGTCTGTGGTGGCAGATGGCTGTGACCCAGGGCCTCCACTGAGGACAGTGAGGAAAGGGGAGTGAAGACCGGCACAGCGGACGAGCCTGACCAACAGTCCTCCAGCCGGTGCCGGAGGTCAACACCACCGGNCAGCCAGACCCAGAGTCCTGGGCTCCCCTCACTCAGCCCAGGGTCTCTCTCCTGCAGGGACCTCCCCAGCAGCGCTCCCACCTTTCCCTGCTCTCCCCAGGGTCCCTCCCTCCTGGTACTGTCCCAGCACTGTCATGTGGTCACCAGGATGCCAGCAGTTCCTGTAGTCTCATCCTCTGCCTGAAGCAGGCCTGGTTGCGACCCCCATAGTAGAGGCCTCTCCGCGTCTTTCCTTGTCCTATAGCTTCAGAATAGATTGTCCCCCTGAGGCTTGAGCTCGGAATGTCCCCTGTCCCAGTTCCCTGCTTTAGAAAATTACCCTGAAACTTATGATTAATGCCCTTATGCCTACTGATCACAATCTCTATGGTCTAGCATTCCCTCCAGGCGACTCCCGTCATTGTTCCCGGGCTGCTGACGCCACCGGAGAACCACGTGGCCAGAGGGGAGGCTCCACGCAGACCCCCGTACCCTCATGTAGCCTTTAGAGGAACACCCAGATTTCCCCTTAAATACCCCCAGCAGGTCTGAGAATGTGAAGGCAGTTTTTGGAGGTGTTAACCCGCTGCCTTCTCAGACCACTGGTGCTCTGATAATAAACGCTTATTCTAAATAGCGCAGCTCCTGTGTTGTCTACTGGCTGAGCGGGGCAGGCAGCACAAGCCCCAGGCTCATGGTCGCCCCCCTGGTTTCACATCTTTCTCTCCAGGGAAAGGGGACGCAAGTACTTAGAGTGGTTAGCAGGGCGCGGAACTGGGGCCAGCTGAGGGCTCAGCAGCAGCCCAGCCAGACCCCCACTTGCTGGAAAGCAGGGAACCAGTGACAGAGGGGACTCAGCTCTCTGTCTGCAGAGAGGGTGGTGGCCTGAGCTGTGAGGAGGTGAAAGCTTACGAGGAAGACATCAGCAAAAAATGTAATTGTGAAGAAGAAAATAAGCTTGAATACTCATAAATGGGACACAGCTCTGGTCAGTCTTTCTTCCGGTTCCCCTTTTGCTGAATCCTTTGTCCGCCCACCCCTGCCCGCTTTCTCTCCTCCCCGTACCCTCGTCCTGGAGCTCAGCTAGCGGCCTGCTCCTCATCCTCAGCCTCTCCACACTCTCATGGTGTGTGTGTTACAGACTCCCTGAGATTTCAGAGGCTGCGGTTCCCTTTACAAACTAGAACTACATCGTGTTCTGTGTCCTGCACTCACCCAGGGAGCCCCCGAGTGCCAGGTTGCTTCTGCAGCTCAGACTCGGGTCCTAGTGTGAGACAGCGTCTGCTCCACAGAACAGCTGCAGAGGCTGCCAGGTCCCCTGTGAGGTCCAGGCAGGTGCCCTGTGCTGCTCGGCCCCCAGGAGCCAGGCTCTGGGTCTCCATCGCTCCCCACAGGCTCCCCCTGGCTCCCCTGTTATTACAGACACAGCCTCTCCTCGCTGGGAAAGGTTCCCTTAGTGCAGCCCAGGCCACCCGAGCTCAGGGTCCCAGCCTCGTCACCACCACAGGCCATTTGTTCCTCTGTTCACCCTGGGCTCACTTGCTAAATTGTAAGCGTTGTTTCCTTTTTTGTTTAATAAGACATCAGACAAGAAAAGGAGACCCTGCCTGCCTGCTCCGCCCCAGGGTCCCCTCCCAGGGACCTGCCACTCACCCAGGAGGACGCCTGCCAGTTCGGCCAGTCCCAGGAGCCAGGAGGCCCAGCGGAGGTGGGGGTCTTCAGAGCAGGGCCCCATCATGGACCTCCCACCAGCCTGTCCAGCAGAGGGGCGAGGAAAACCCCACAGCTGGGCGGGGCCGGGTTTAGTTCTGGGATGGCTGTTCAGAGTGAGCCACTCGGACCCACGGACCCACGGTGCCTCAGTAAATCCTATTAGGACAAAGGTATAATGAAACCCCCTCTTATATGCCCGTCCCTGTGTCACATGGGCTCAGTGACCTCACAGCACCACCCCTGCCCCACTGGGGACTCCTCCCCCCTCCCAGGTGGACAGCTGTGTCCAGGCAGCCCCGCCTGACTGTGCCAGCCTGTGGTCAGCTGTTTCCACCTGGGCAGTCCAGGCCTGTCCTGTGTGCTGTCTGTCTGTCTGAACACCACTGAACGAGTCAAATTCTCTTTTGACTTTCCACAGACTCCAATGTCAGTTGCCTAAGTAAGAAGCTGTGAGCAAGAGCACAGGCCTCATGGGATGGGTCGAGTCCCCACACCCCGTGACAACTCTGGTGCTGACCTGTTGCTGACAAACGTGGTTTTCTCATGACCCCCCCACATGGGCAAAGCCAGCCCCCAGGAGCTGCCTCACAGCCATTTCCCCTGGAGCCTGTGTCAGCCCGTTCCTGCTGTCACAGGGGTAGTGACGGAGAGGTACCCATGCCTGGCCACGTCCTCCAACTGAGGGTCCGGCCCTGGCCTCCCCTCCCCACACTGGGAGCCCCTCATCATCCGATGGCTTGCCACCCATTCCCTGGGCAGCCATCTTCCTAAGCGGGCAGTGCCCCCCACCCACACACACATGCCCTCGTTTAAATTTTTTCTGGGGGCCGGCCGAGTGGCGCGATGGTTAAGAACT